CAGTCTGGCCATACCGTCCAGCAATCACACTCCTAAGTATTTATTCAAACGAGTTGAAGACTTACGTTCTCACACACACACACACGCACAACACTGCACGGACTTACAGCAGCTTTGTTCATTATTGCCAAAACTTGGAAGCAAGAAATATGTCCTTAAGTAGGTGCATGGTTAAAAAAAACTGCTATATCCACACAAGAGAATATTATTCAGTGATAAAAAGGAAATGAGCTATTAAGCCATGCAGAGATATGGAGGAACCTTAAATGCATATTACTAAATGAAAAGAGCTGGTCTAAAAAGACTGTTTACTATGTGATTTCAAATACATGTCATTCTAGAAAAGGCAAAACTATGGAGATAGAAAAAAAATCAATGGTTGCCAGAGTTTGTGAGGTTAGGGAGTAGGGATAAATAGGTAGAGCACAGGGAATTTTTATGGCAGTGAAACTATTTTTTGTATAATGCTGCAGTAGTGGACATGACTGAACAATTAACACACACACACAGTAGTGGATACATGACATTATGCATGTGATAGAACCATAGACCTGAGCAACACAAAGGATAGTGAAAACTGTGGACCTCAGTTAATAATAATGTATCAATATGGGTTCATCAATTTTAACAGATTTCTATTAATAATGTTTTAAAATAGCTGCATGAGGAAATAACACTGAAAATCAAGAGAAGTAACAACCAATGTAAGCACACCCCCACGGGGATCCAGGTAATGGAGCTACCAGACGTAGACTTTAAAGTACCATGTTGTGTATGCTCCAAAGTAAGTGCTTGAGAATTGCGCCAGAAAACTAGAAGACATTTTTTTTTGTTTTAAATGGCAAGTTGAGAACTAAAAAACACTGAATTAACTGAATTATGAACTCTGTGGGTAGATTTAGCAGAAATCAATGAAGAGAAAATATACAATAGAGAGAATTTAACTTGACAAGGCTGATCAATCCGCAAAGATGGTGATAAAATAGATTCTCCCCAGACTCCTTATAGGTAGGTAAGTAAATAAACATGAATGGACAATATAATGGGCCCTGGTAGCTCAGGAGGTAAAGAATCTGCCTGCAGTGCACGAGACCCAGGTTCAATCCCAATGAAAAGGGGGATATCACTATATATCTTATAGATATTAAAACAGAATATTATAAAAACAATTATGTTAATAATGCAGTTTAGGGTGAACAAATGCCTTGAACATCTCAATAAAACTAATACAAAAATTAGGAAATCTAAATAGTCCTGTATCTATAAGGGAAATGCAGTCCTTAATTTAAAACCTTCCATAGAGAAAATTTGATACTTGTATAATAAAATTATTACCACAGTAAATCTAGTTAATAGTTAACATCCATCACCATACATAGCTACAGAATTGTTTTTCTTGTGATGAGAACTTTTAAGATAAATCTCTTAGCAACTTTCAGATATGCAATGCAGTGTTATTAACTATAATCACCATGCTGTACATTACATCCATAGGACTTATTTATTTTTTAACTGAAAGTTTGTACCTTTTGATCTACTTTACCCACTTCACCCATCCCTCACTCCCTGCCTTTGGCAACTGCCCATCTGTTCTCTATATCTTTGAGCTTATGTTATTTTAAAGATTCCACATATAAGTGAGATTATGTGGTAGTTTTTCTTTCTCAGTCTAGATTATTATACTTAGCAAAATGTCCTCAAGATCCATCCATGTTGTTGCAAATGGCAAGATTTTCTTCTTTATTATGGCCAAATCATATTCTAATGTGTATCACATTTTCTTTATCCATTTATCCATTGATGGACACTTGCTTCCATGTCTTGGCTATTGTAAATAATGCTTTAGTGAACATGGGGTGCATATGCCTTTTCAAGTTAGTATTTTTGTTTTTCTCAGATAAATATCCAGAAGTGGAGTTACTGGTAGTTCTATTTTTAATTTTTTGAGGAATCTCCATACTATTTTCCATGTGTGCATGCTTAGTTGCTAAGTTGTGTCAGACTCTTTGAAACTCCATGCACTAGATAGCCCACGAGGCTCCTCTGTCCATGGAATTTTCCAGGCAAAAATACTGGAGTGGTTTGCAATTTCTTACTCCAGGAATCTTCCAACCGAGGGATCAAACTCGTGTCTCCTGTGCCTGCTGCATTAGCAAGCAGATTCTTTACCACTGAGCCACCTGGCAAGCCCACTGTTTTCCATAGTGGCTGCACAATCCCACCAACAGTGCAGGAGGGTTCCCTTTTTTCCACACTCTCACCAACAATTGTTTCTTGTCTTTTTGAGAATATCCATTCTAACAGTTGTGAGGTGATATCTCATTGTGGTTTTTACTTGCATTTCTGTGATGTTCAGTTCTTTCTTTACATAGATAACAAACAGAAAATAAAATATTTAAATCCCTTTACATTAGCATAAGAAATACAAAATACTTAGAAACAAATCTAATGAAAGATATGCAAGTCTACACTGAAAATTGCAAATATTGCTAAGAAGAACTAAAGACCTAGCTAAAGGGAAACTATACCATGTTTGATTTGAAAGACTCATTATTAAGATGTCAGTTCTTCTCAAACTGACCTACCAACTGAATGCAATTCTGATAAAAATTTCAGTACTTTTCCTTGTGGAAACTAGAAAGTAGATTCTAAAATTCATATGAAAGTACAAAGGACTAGAAGAACCAAGGCATTCTTGAAGAACAACAGCAAAGCTGGAGGACTTAAAGGATGTGGGGTCAATTGGTTATCCTTAACCCAACCTAATTAGATAAAAATGAACCACAGACCCAAATATGAAGGTAAAAAAATAAAACTGCTAGAAAAAACCTTGAGGAGAAAATCTTAAAATCTTGGGATAAGTAAATATTTCTGAAACAGGACATTAAAACAAGAACTAATCCTAAGAGATATGATTGATAAATGACATAAAAGTGTCACTTTTTTTTTTTTTAAATAAAATGAGACTCTTAAGAGAAAAAATATTACCACACACTGGGAGGTCAGTCTGCCACACATATATCTGACAAAGTATTCATATTCTGAATATGTAAAGAATTCCTACAAATAAACAGATTACTCAAAATATTTTCTTAAACAGGGAAAAGACTAGGACAAACATTTCATTAAAAAAGGATATCCAGATGGCCAGTATGCATAAAAAGATACTCACCCTCATTAGATAACAGGAAAATGCAAATTAAAGGTATAGTGACATATTATTCCATTCCACCAGAGTAGCTAAAATTTTAAAAGACTGACCATACCAAGTGTTGGTAAGGATGTAGAGCAGTTTGAACTCTCATATATTGCTGGTGGGCATGTGATTAATGGGCTTTCCTGATGGCTCACACGGTAAAGAATCCGCCTACAATGCAGGAGACCTGGGTTCAATCCCTGGGTTAGGAAGATCCCCTGGAGAACCCACTCCAGTATTCTTGTCTGGAAAATCCCATGGATAGAGGAGCCTGGTGGGCTGTAGTCCATGGGGTCACACAGTTGGACACGGCTAAGCATGCACACAAGATGTGATTAATAATTTGCTAGAACCACTTTAGAAAACTGCCAGTTTTACTAAAGTTAAAACATATGTATTCTGTATGACTCATTCCTGAATATGTACCCAAAGAGAAATGAGGACATATATCTACCAAAAGCATATTCAGCAGTGTTCATAAAAACTTTATTCATAGTAGCTTCAAGCTAGAAACAATTCAAATTGTTATCAAGAAGAGAATGGATAAAATATGAGGTATTTGTAAAATGGATAATGGCATAACAATAGAGAACTGTGATATGCAATAAACATGACTTAATCATAGAGATGAAATGTTGAACAACAAAAAATCAAGAGATGGAAGTATATACACTGTATGATTTCTTTGATGTGTGTGGGTGAATAAATAGAGTCCCGAATCACCTGTCAATACATTAATATATACTTGCGCTAATAAAGGACAGAAAAGTGGTTTTGGTGCCAGGGTAGGCAATGAGTGAACTCTGCCTGTAAGCAATACCATGAATAAATCTCCCAGTATTGAGTAAAAGAAAAAAGCCATCTGTAAAAGAATGTGCACTATGATTCTGTTTGCATGAAGTTCAAAAACAGGCAAAACTGCAGCTTTAGAAGTGGATTAGTTGGTTATGTTTTTGGAGGACAGGGAGGGTGGAGATTGAAAGGAGGGAAGGATAGGGGCCCTTCTGGTACGGCAGTGCTCTTGACCTGTGAGGTGACACCAGCGTTTGCTTTGTGGTTTTACATTCTGCTCTACATTTATATTCTGCTCATTCTTTAGTAAGCCTGTTATCCTTTAGTAAAGAGTTAGAAACCAAAAACCTGAAGATCTATAGCTACTGAGTGAGTGTCAACATTTATAGATATTTTTCTGTTTAAAAAAAAAGGCAAACTTTTTATAAAAATAAAAAGGTATTACCTGTTTTCATTTACTTGTTTTGCATTATACATAGATTTTTCCATATTATTAGAAAATTTTCCCTTTAGAAAGGCATGTTTTCAAACTGAGATGCATCCATAATCAGTCTTAGCTGTCTGATCCTTTAATTTACTACTTTGGTAGTGATTTATCAATTGAAAACTTGCTTTTAATTTTAAATTTATAGTTATTTTAAACCTACGATATCTTCTGGGAAAATGAAGAGCTCATGATTATCAGGTGACAGGCAAACTCATTAGTAAAATTTGACTCCTTCCCTTCTTAGACTTTTTATTTGCACAATTTCCTTATTGATGCTAATTTTCTGGTTTGGCATTTATAATAGTTGTGTTTGTTACATTGAGGGTATGAGCTAGATCTCTGCATTATTATCTTTGCAATTTTCAATAAGCATTGTATCCACTGATCTTTGCTCTGATTATTCACTGAAAATACTCATCTCTAAGTAAAATTTTTTTGGTGAGTAAAATATTCACTATATAGCTTTGTTCAAATAGGAGAGTATGTGTTACCATACTTGTTTCTTTTCTTTTTTTTTTTTTTTAGAGAAAATCTCTGCATGAAAACAAACTGAAGAGACTGCAGGAAAAGGTAGAAATCTTAGAGGCAAAGAGAGAAGAATTGGAAACAGAAAATCAGGTGTTAAATAGGTAATATGTTTGTATGTATATATGCCCCATGTGGTATTTTGATGTTATAGAACTTTGTTTCTGAGTATAATGTACTTGGGTTGCTTTTAAAATATAAATTTAAAACAATCCTAAAACTTCATTAGACTCCTCATTCATTATCTTTGCTATTTTCTTTGATTGAATGTTTCTTAAACCAAAAGGTCTTTAACATGCATTTCTGTTTTGTATGGTTGAGATCGACAGAAAGGTCAATCCCTGGCTTTGGTAGCCAGGAGTGGTGTAAATCCTTGCTGCTGAGACAAGACAGTTTAGTGATTACAAACTCTAAATTGTGGCCACAACTTTGAATCAAGGCTCAGTTTTTTAATGTTTTGGTATGGAAAATATTATTGGGCAGTAGTTTCTGGTTCTTATTTATATCCAAGCACAACTAATAATCTGCATTATTAGCATTTTTGAGCAGAGATTTACCATTTTTATTTAGTAGTGGTGGCATTGTATGACCCATGTGATTTAAGTTAATAGAATCTTTTCAATTTCAGCTAATTAGTGGTAGTCTTTAGCATTTAGACAGTATCAGACTGTTCTGTAATGGAAGTTGCCTGTATGTCAAGCAGTGATGTTTTACAATGTGCACTGGTCTTCTTGGGTATAATTAGTACTAAAATGTGAACAGTTGTGTGTGGTTTTTTTTTTTTTTTTTAGAACATCCAAGAGGTTTCCAGACTGTGCAATAAATGCCAGTTTTACAAATACTTTCTGTTCCAAAATGAGAAGCCACCACATTCATTCTAAAACAAAATTCAACTTATTATTTCAAAATTAATCGTTGTGGAAGAGGTGTTATCAATTCAGGAGTGGGCAGCTATGGCACAGATCACCTAGAACTTTAAATGGCTTTGAAACTATATTTGATTACTTGTGATTATTAGGAAATTAATGTCCAAAAAGGTGGTGATCTGTGAAGGCCTGAAAAGTTTTTTTTTTAATCCATGTCATTTTCCCTTAAGTTGGGTAGCTTTACCTTATTAGGAACATTAAAAAAAAAAATAGGACAAAATAAATTGGCTATGTTTGACCATATTTCACCTACAAAATTCATAATATTCAACCTGGTATTTTCTCTATTTCTATTTGATTTCTGAAGTTAAATAAGGCACCCCCTTTTTTTTTGAGGAGTCCTTTTAGTTTGAAGATTCATGGGTTGGGGGAATAGAATTAAAGTAAAAATATCATTGTTTTTAATCTCTTAATTGTCAAATAAAACTTTAAGTTGACAGCCTACAGGGCCAATAATAACACATATAATTAAGATGTCATGTTTCTGTTTATCTTTCTAGACAAACTGAATTTTATGTATTATATATAGGTAAATCTTACAACTTAAAAATCCTCCCCTCCCAATTAAAATAATGTTCTGTGACTCATACTGCTCTTCAACAGAATATAACTGTATTAAGCAACAGAAATGCTTTTCCTTTTTAAGACAAAATGTTCCATTTGAAGAGTATACAAGGCTTCAAAAAAGACTAAAGGATATACAGAGAAGACATAATGAATTTCGAAGTTTAATTTTGGTTCCTAATATACCTCCATCAGCATCCATCAATCCTGTTAGTCTTCAGTCATCAACTGTGATTCCAGGCATGGAACTGTCCTTTCCTCCTCACATGCAGGTATGGGCATTTATTTTAGGAGAGAAAAGTTAGATAGATACTTCTGTAAGTTTTACCTGTTTAACTAGTTAAAAACCTAAATCTTTACCAGAAAAATTGCTGAGAGGCATAGTGGATTTGAATCTATCCTTCAATGATGATGCTAGGAGTAAAGTCTCCTACTGGGCACCTGAAAGGAAGAAACTGATAAAGTCTTTGAGTAAACTGTTGAGTTTGTAGGTCACTCATATAATTCTGATTATTACCAACATTTATGCAAATGTACTATGCGCTTTCCATACAATATTTTATTTAATCCTAATGAAAAATGCTTTGAGGGAAGGTATTAGTATTCCTAGTTTGCAGATGAGGAAGCTGAGTCAGAGAGGTGAAGTGACTTGCTCAAGAGCTTCAAGAGCTGAGTTTCAAACCTAAATTTGTTTCCAAAACTTGAGTTAGTTTTACTTTATCAAATCCCTGAGATGTTGAGGGAACCAAATTGATCAGATGATTTTTAGAAGATGAACTGTTAATAAGCAATGACATTTTGTAATGTTGTAAGCAAGGAAGATTTTTAATGTTCTAAGTCACTGAATTGTATCTCTGATGAAGTGCTTTGTTTACATAATAAACTTCTGTTAAACTCGGCTTGTTAGAAAGTTGCCACATAAGTACACCTGGGCCCTGCATTACTGTTATCTAATTTATTCTGCGGTGAACTTTAAACCTAGAGAAGAACAGACTTTGGGTACTGGCTGAAGGCTACAGCCTGAGGCAGGAGAAGAGGGAGGACTAGTTGGTAGTCTAGACCATGCTGGTGTTCTTAGACTGCTAAAATGGTCATCCTTTTCTTGCCAGATGTTGCAGACCTGAATAAAAGAGGCACTGAGGCCACTGCCTAACAGTTATTTTTCCACCAGTTTTTCTAACAGTCTTTCTTGAAATGCTTTTTCTGTTTTTCCTTTTTCTGTGCTTTTAAGGAGGAACAGCATCAAAGGGAACTCTCTCTACTTCGCAAAAGACTAGAAGAACTTGAAACAACACAAAGGAAACAACTAGAGGAACTTGGATCTCCTGGGGAATGATTTGCTTGGAGAAAAGGCAGATCAAAAGGGATGAAATCAGTGACTCAATAAAGCTTGAAGTTTTAATGTATGTGGCATTTTAGATACTTCATTACTGTTTGCCAAAACACTTGACTGTGCCTCAAGAAAAGGTACTAGCTACATGCTGTGTTGCATGAATGTCAGGATTTTAAGGTTATAGTAATGATAAGTGAAGCCCTAAGACAGCTTCAGAGATATTTAGAATATTATTGACAGCCCTTTGAGAATGTTAAATAAATGAACAAATAAAAAGGAAATAGGGAATCAAGTTTTTCAATTATTAATTTTACTTTGTTGAATTTTTTTTTGGGGGGTGGCATTTTGCCTAAATATGACTTTGTTGAATTCCCTCTTCTTTGAGGTGCTTAGCAATCACATGGTCAGAAATGTTTTCTGGTTTACTATATGTAAAAGTTACAAACCTCTACTTCTTGAAAAAAGATGACAATTTAAAGTCAGCATAAAACTTAAGATATCTATATATATTACACAACACTACCTTTTCTAAAAGCTGTATGCACATAATTTATTAAAAGCTTAATAAATATTTTTCTAGTTATATTGTTTTGTGTTTGTTTTAACCATACAGTGTAGAAGATCTCACTAATTTTGGCTTTGTTGAGTTAGAATTAATAGAAAATAACAAAGTACAAATAATGAAGTCCTGTGGCTGTATAATAAAACAAGGGCCATTTATTGTAAAACTTGAACCCAGTGGGGTCCCTTTAGAAATAATGTTGGTATTTAACTTTGTCTCCTGCAGTTTTGGATCTAACCAAATTGTTATAAATGTTTTATTTCTCTGTGTCCCTAAGTATGCCATCATTTGCTTTTTTATGTAACATCTTTTAAAGGCATTCTGCTGGAATAACTTCATGTCAACAAGGCAAAGCTAAAGTGTGCTGGACTAAGTGGAATGTTCATTATCTAGACGTCATCACATTCAAAATTCCAAGATGACAGTGGAGGCCAGGAGTAGATTGCATAGCCTTAACATCATTTAGAAGAAACTAGATTTACTTACTATATAATATAGCTGCTAATTTACAAAGTGTATACAGTGACACTTTGTTCTTGAAAAATAATTTCCGTGGAGCTACTTAGAATGAAAAAAAAATCTATTACTAGAAAACTTGAAGGAAGAAAAAGACAAAAACAGTCCATATTTACATCAAAATGTTTATTTTTGGATATAGACATTTAAAACATTCATCTCCAAGAACTGCTTCAATCAGGTATACAATAAGAAATAGACTTTAAATCCCTAATACAGAAAAAAGTAACAGAATTAGTTTTTAAATGCTGCTGTAGACACTAGTGTTAGAAAAAAGAAAAGCTTATAAATGGTTTTGCACCAAAAAAATATGCAAGGAAACTTGAAAATAGAAATTGTTTGCCATTTGTTTCTCTGGTTGCTGTTTAATATAGACCCAGTGACTGATTGTCTTCAGCACACATCTAATTTGGCCATGTACTGCGTTTGGCTAACGTGATCCAAAATGTGATCCAGATAGTGCTTTTCACTGGAGGATTGACAGACACGCTACACACATTAGTGAATCTTCACACCACCTCAGTGAGGTAGGTTAGAAATATTATACAGAAATTGAGGCACAAAGAGGTAAGTGACTTGCCCAAACTTCCCAGCAGCACAGTCCCTGGAAAAGGAGGTAAATCTCCACGCAGGATTCATGTGCCAGAGAGCCGGACAGGGACACCCTCATGTAGCATTTACTAAATACTGAGATAAAGCTGTAGCTGATCCTTTTGAGATTTCTTAGCATTTCTGTACCCTAAAGAGGGGAAGTCTTTTGGGCAACTCTCCTACCCTTGGCTCTCAACTCTCCTGCTGTTCCCCTATGAATGCCTTCACATCGAGACTGCAGCAGCCTTAGAGCGGGACGAGACCTTTCTCATAGAGAACCTCTGTGGTAGGGTTTTTGAGGTGTGTCCGTTGGAAAGACAGTGGTCAGAAGTGACAGGACTGGGAAGGCGCCTATAGGGCAATAAAATGCTTATTTTCTCTGATCAGTTTGTTGAGGTCTCATCTCTCACTCTTTACCATATAGTGAGAAGCAAAAAGAGCTGCATTCATTTAAGACAAATGTACTTCTAAATCCTGCTATCTCATAGATTGTTGTTGGTAAGTGATTTTAAGGAATGTATGATCAATGTTTTATTTGCTACCTGAAAATTTTCCTTTCCTCAATCTGGGATTTGGAGCACCAAGGGTAAAGGTGCCACAAAGAAAGTTTAAGAGTTGCCAATTAAACTTTTTACTTCTGGTTTAATAGAAGGAAAACACAGTGGTATTAAAATTGGTCATGAGCAGCAAAAATTCAGGAATAAAAAATCAGCAATAAAAAGACTACAATATAACTAGATAGGGAATTCTTTTTTAAAAAAAGGCATGAATAAAACAGGTATTCTTAACTCTTTCTCTTGTGAGGAATACTTTCAAAAAGTACATAGTAAGACTAAGATACCAAGTTGTATACTAATATTTTTCAGGCCATGGGCCTCAAATATATATATATTCATATATAATACTCCAGTGTGAACAGCAATTTCATGAAATGTAAAATGTATTTTTTTTAAATCACACACAAGTATTTATAACCACAGGGTTCACCAGAAGTCTAAAGCAAGGAGATAGTAGTATAGAAATGTAGGATTAGGGGACGGAGTTACTCTTCCATTGATAGTTCTGATCAAAGTTCTTAGAAATAAGCTAATGATTTTTTTTTTTTACAATAGCCAACACGTCTACTATTGAAGACATTTAATATGGAAAAATAAAATGAAGAAAAGGTAGGTACTTTAAAGTGTCTGGATAAGATGCTGTCACGTTTTAACGACGCCTACTCCCCCTCCTTGCTTTAGAGCTCTCTAGTGAAATGGAGGTGAGTTTGATGGAGTACAGTTGGTGACCACTGAAAAACACGAGCCCTTTCAACAATGTTGCAACACTGTTAGTTTTTGGTTTAAAAACACACACACACACACTCACAAATGCTAAGTGTACACACTACCAAATTCTGCGGTCAGCTTTTCCAAGAACTCCTGGGGAAAAGTCTCAATGCTGCAAATCCTCGAGGTTGCCCTCACACCCCCACCTTGTTTCCAAATGACTCATTTCACATTTTGTTTTGATCATTAGCAATGTCCCTTGTCTGCAGAGGTGCAGTGTAGTCACAAGTGCTACATAGCTGTAGTTTTCAAACAAAACCACTTATATCATTGTGCTTAAGTGGAGAGTGTAGTTAAACAATACTGACCCTTGCTTACTGGCCCTGTATTCTCTGTAAACAAGGAGGCTGTTTGCAACAACCACTTCAGCTCTATTTACAGAAGGGTTCCCACAGTACACACACAGGCACACTGGTTGATATGCTTTCTAAAAGCTGTGCATGTGCCTTGGTCTCTTAAAAAAGACAGTGCTCAAAGTGGAACCTATGTGCAAACTGAAATTCACAACACAGAGTAGCTCAAGCAGCCATTTTGCTCCCAAGTCATCTGAAGAACTTTACCAGATTAAGCCAGGCCCCAGAGTGCTTACATCCACTTGCATTTCTTCTTTTCATCAAATAAGACTTTTACATGCAAGAGTTGTTTCTGAGCTTCTTCCAGCCCTCGTTCTCTTTCTAGTTTATTTAGAATCTGTTGACAATTAGAACAGTTATTTTAGATATTGTGGTTTTAGCATTACAATTCTGTTTTTTTGCATTCCTGATGCTGTGAGTGGTAAATCTGTATGAAACAGATGCCAAGATTTTCTTCGATCATTTACATACTCACTTTGCAAGTTGTTTTGCTAAGTCATTATCACAGGATCAACAACACTTCGGCTTAAAATAGAAACTCGCAAGAAACACCGAACTACTTGCTTACAAATATGGGGCCAGAATTCCAAGGCCCTGTTTTATGCATTATGTCACAGCCATTCCAAGCACAGCAAGCATTCCTGGGCAGCCAACATGCAGGCAAGTATTTCTTCTTAAATGCAGCAGGCAGGGGGCATCCTGGTCAGAGATGTCTACCTCCCTTCCCCTCCCCTCCCCTCCCCTCCCAATGCTTCCCTTCTAACCCCTGACCCCTGGAAAGAGGGATGCTTATCATGTTTAAGGAACTCATTGCCTCTACCCTACCTTAGTGCTTCACTTGATCTTCAAGTAGCAAATGGAATTGGTGAGCTATTCTCACCATTGACATGGATAGCCTGTCCCAGCATGACTGAGTGGGGGGGAATCAGGGAAGGGGGAATTAACATATATTTGGAAACAGCGCATCTGATGACTGTGTCTGTGTGAATTCCCAAAGAAAAAAATCCAGATTAAGGAGAATTAATCATAAAGGAGAATGGTTTATTGAAATAGTTGCTTAAGTCAGAAATATGTCATACTTTAACTACTGAGTACAGAATCTAGGCGATTTAACAAGCTTTGCCTTCATTTTAGCAGATTACAATCAAGCATAAGCAGGCCCTTTTATTAGGACCACTACTTACTCATCAAAGTTAACTGTGTCAATAGGCCCCGTTAAGTCAATGGCTGGTCCAAAGACGGGCAGCCACACGCAGGGTCTGGCTTGGTGCCAGGATCCCGCATCTCAGACAGGCTTCCTGGCCTCCCTTTCTGGCCACTTGGGATGCCAGAGCCATCCTGAGACCTACAGGATGCTTTTTAACCAAATTCTGGTGGCTGATTCGTATCTGGGTTTTTTTTTTTAATGTTATTTAAAATCTTACCTCATCAAAATATTTTATGATGTATTTGTAGATTTCTGTCAAGGCCACTTCTTCATTAAATTCATTTTCATGTTTCTTAAAGAAAGAAAGCCTTGTTGAGAGATTCTGAAATGGCTTAAGTACCCAAATATAATCTTATTTCTACTTTCTAACAATACCTTAGATTCCTGAGTTAAGAATTCTTCCATCTCTGAAGATGACAAAGGAGGCAAATCCCTGATTGCTTTGTAATAAGACTTTACTTCCTCTTTGTAGGTTGGGATATCCTTGGCATAGAGAAGTTTATTAGTTGGTGCTTCCTGAAAAAAAGCGGCAACCACCAAGAGTTTAAAAAACCATCAGGAATTTATAGCAGTACCAATGTAGCTGAACCTCCACCACTATTCTTATCTCCTGGTAACAAGTCTTCATGCAGTAGGCCTTCATAAATGTTATTGACTGAATGACTGACTGCTATCCAGATAGTTCTGGTGAGTCACTGTTATTTTCAGGCAGATTAAATGCTAATATATTCTGCCTTCCTCTCATAAAAGAACTAAAATTATTATTTTTGCATGATTTTGAGTTACTGTAACAATGGAACTTATTTCAATCATAGTTCATTACTAATAGTTGTAAAAAGCCTGAATTAAAGCATTTGCTCTCATCCTCACCCACCAGTGAATTTTGGCATTTATAAAAGGTTTGATTGTAGGTCTGATTGAGCCCTTTATATAACCATGAACATGGTAAGTAAGTGGCAATGGCAGATTTTCTGCTTTTTCCTATTTTATTAGATTACAAAAATCTTTCAGTGTTCTCAAGAAAGAGCATGGTCATTAATATTGGTGGCTCTGATGTCTTGATTTTGGAAAAATTCCCTGGTAGTTTGAATGTTTTTGTGTAATTTTAACTGATGTTAAAATGCAAGTGAAGATACTTTTTTTTAAGTTACAATTTTGACAGAATTAACATGTCAAAGAAAAATCATAGCCAGTATAGAAAAGAGACAGAAAAATTAATTCAAACCAGCCTGAGGATTATGACCTAGGAGAGCGCCTCTCAGAAAGCTCTGAGGACTGTTCTCAAGAGGTAAGGGGGGTGGGGCCTGCATACATGTGATTTTGGGGAAGGGGGCTGTGCAATCAATCACACACTGCTATTTGTGAGGAACAGATATCTTAATGGGTTTAGTGCATTTCTAAGTATGGGAAGATTCAAGAAACTGAGTTCCTGAAATTTTCTCCTGAAAATAACTAACCAAAGGCTAGCCAGTTTTCCCCGAGTGCAAACTGCCTCATCCTCATCTTTGGCCTGAATTCCTTTCAGGGTGTGTCATAACAGGTCAGCAACTGCAGTGGGATGATGGGCAACATTATTTTGCAATGCTCTCCCTTTCAGACTTAATTTTCACCAGTGTTGGGGAGGCATTTCATGAGCAGGAATGCTCATTCTCAGGTCAGACGAGGATTTCATTGATAGGCCACTCAGTGTGCTGTTACTGAACAAGGTAGGCCCTATTAACGGCAGCCAAAAGCCTCTGGACTGCCTGTCTTACTAGACTCTCATGGTCCAGGAAATGGTTTCTTCCTGTTGCTTCTTCCCACATCTAGAATTACACTATTACAATAATTGATATTTGGTCAAATTGTTTTAAGTCATCTAGTCACCATTTTTATTGGAGGTTCAGTCATATGTTTGGTAATGCACAAGATACAAATAATGTAGGAACATTAATAATTAACATTAATAAAGTATTTAAGCTAAGAGCTTCCATTATGTGCAGCCCAGTATCTCCCCAGGTCATCTGACCAATCGCTATCTTTAAGGGAAATACTATGTTGGCACTGTATATAAAGTTCACCAAAGTAGACTGTACATACACAGTATGTGGTGGGTCACTGTGACCCCTTACAAGACTGAGAGAGGAATATTATCTTCTAAGGAGTTCCATAGCTAGTGCCAGAAGAATAATGGGTCTTCACAGTTTAGTGGGTACTTCTGCCATTGGAGAGGGCTGATAAATGCAGAATGTAGGTGTACAGTGCACACTAGAGGAGAGGGAGGAGGCCCACACAGGCGAACATTTTGCTTAAATTTTTCTTGTTCTAAAATATGAATTTTTATTTATATCACTGTTCATATCACTACTCAGGGAATATAGGTGAGTGAGTTAACGCTAGGGCCAGCGCCCCAGTACATTTTTAAATGTATTGATGGCTTGAAGGAGGCCTGGACTGAGATATTTTTTCACCTGTCAAGTTTAGAACCTACAACTGTTGTGATCCTTCACTGAAAGTTTTATTTAGCCAGGCACTGTGGGTAGGCACTGAATGAAAACCAGTCAGTGCCTGCCCTTAAGCTTACAATCTAAGATCAGTAATTAGTAGCAGTGTAGCACAAAGAAGAGGACATAGAGTTAGATGTATGATCTTAAGACCTGTAACCTCTCATCATCAATTCCTCATCTAGAAAAGGAGGGTAATGGTAATTGTTGTGGTTCTTGTGAGAACTGAATTATGCCAAGAACATAGTAATCAATAAACAGCCATTTTTAGTATGGATAACTCTGTTTCAGTGTATTGCACACCAGGGAGAACTTTACTGGTCAAAATTAGCACATGAGAAATGCATCAGGGGAACATTCACAAAGTATATTTAGACTAAATCTGAGTCCCCTCATACATTTTCTGATACACATTAGGAAATCACATTTGTTGAATGAATGAGTAGGGTTTTACTAGACAGAGGTAACAGGAAAGGGATGAGCAAATTGATGTGAAAAGAAGCTCATGGTTAAGTCTGGGAAAACTAAAAGCTGTAGCATAAAACGTAGGTAGATGGATTGGGGAAGAAAATGAAGAGGCCAGAAAAGAGACTTGAAGCCCAGTGGGAAGGGCCATGTGGCACTGAAGATTTTATCTGGTAGGTAATGGGAAATATGTACAGTGTTTAAGCAGGACTCGGACAGGATCAGAGTTTTGTTTTAGAAAGCCTGAGACACAGTGAAAGGGGGACAGTGGGAACCAGGACAGCAGTTAGCAGGCAGCCATGGCAGGGGAGGGACGGAAGTGAGTAGTAACCAACCAGAGACAGGTGGGAGGACGGAGGAGACGACAGTGCCGAGGATTTTACCTTGAGAGGCTATAGGCAGTGCTAGGAATATAAAAGTCAAAAACAAGTTTGGTTTCTAGAAGTAGTGACGATAGAGTCTGGATTTAGACTTGGAGTCTGAGGCGCCTATGACATGTCCATCACACTTCATTCCAGGCACTCTGAACATCCTTCCACCAAAGACCCACTGCTCAGCATGAAAAGATTTCTAAACCCATTAGGTACAGATATTGCTCAGTTTATTATGGAGTACTTGGGTTAAGACCAAAACATCTCTTTCAGAGTTTCCTCTGTATTTTTATCTTTTCTTGCCTTATAGATTTTTTGCTCAGCAAAGAACACCATAGAACAAATGATATTGATTTGATTATAAAATGACAAAACAGAGGTATTAGAAACCTCAGGCAAGATTTTCTTCCCCAGAAGAAATTTGTTATAATCAAATAGATGCTTTTAGGTATATTCAGATGGAACTAACATAGGCAAATTTCAATAATTATATACTTTGGGTTCATAGTTTAGTAGCATCTATATTAGCATCTACATGAGATTTTTCTAGGAAACAAAAGCTAAAGGTTTTCACAGGCAGAGTTCTGTAGTAGGATGGAAATAATCCATTTTGGTTTTCACTTAAACTAGATTAGAAATAGAGATAAATGAGCAATTTTTAGAAAAGCAGGTGTTCAGTGACCATCATTTACTTTTTCTTTTTAGCTGATGTCATGTGTTACTTGAATGTTTACAAAGAAGACAGAGTGCTTCAGACTCACAGAAACATACAGGAAATCCTAAAGCTGGGCCTTACCTTCCCAAGTTGCTGCTCCGTGAGGGAAAACGCGTCCATGAATGCCTGGGCGATCACTGACAGACAGCCATCTATGTGTGGTGTCTTCTTAATGTCAAAGACAAACTGAGGGTTCTTCAGGATGTTTACCCAGAAGCGAAGAGGAAGGCTGTTCCGAGAGAGAGAGAGAGAGACGTCTTTTCAAGTACAGCCTTTCATGTGAGGCAGATGCTGTGTTTATCACAGTTTGTAAATGGGTGTTTTTGTCCTTGTTACTGAAGTATGCAAGCCTGCCTTGCCAAACATACCAAGCAACAGATGGCAGCGTCACTCAGAACAAGAAAGGGTTAAACTGTCTGAGTTCCTGAAAGGGAGGCCTGGAGAAGTCTGAAACTGGCCACTGACAAAACAAGAATTTTCTCCACCAGAAATCTGTCAATTATATTAGATAATGGTTACCAGTGAGAACATCTCATCGGACCGCTTCTCACCCCCTCTAAGTGCTATACCCTGAGCTAAGCTACCATCATCTCTCACCAGGATTATTACCTGCCAGCTCCCAACAGTTAATTCTCCCACAAGGACCAGCAACCCTCTGAAGACAGAATCAGGTCCTTGTCTTTCCACTGCAGCTCTCCATCCCCCTGGAGAAAGCCCTGCATGATCTAGGCCTGGTCCTTACCGACTGCGCTTCACCTTATGCACCCCAGCTCCACCAGCCTCCTTGCTTCTCACCACACGCACCAGGCAAGCTTGTGCCACGGGGCTTCATCCATCTTCCTGAAACTGTCTTGCCCCAGACAGTCTCAGGGTTAATGCCTCTTTTCAAGACCTGACTCAAATTTATGTCCACCAGGCCTCTGACCACCCTGTTCTATTAGTCTGTTTTTCCCTCATTCTCTGCATTAATATTGCCTTCTAATATACAATTTATCTATTAAAATACAACCTCTGTGAGAACCTGGCTTTCTGTCTCTTACTTTACCTTCCATGCCTAACAGTACCTGATACCTAGTTGGTACTCAGATATTTGGCTATGATCTGGGGAGTCCCTCAGAGTCCTCCGGCCTCGCTAGCTGTCTGCATCAGAGGGGCTGCTGGGCCTCTCAGCAGCTCTGCTCTCCTGCCTAGCGCCCTTGGTCACACGCTACAGTCTGCCCAGTGAGATGGCAGGGCCCAGGACGCCAAGGCTAGAGCAAAGGGCGGGAGGGAGCCACAGTAGACAGTTAGGGTAGGCCCGGAGCTTTTAATACGTACTTAAAATGGTCTGGCTAACCTCAGTGCTTAGAAGGGCTTGAGCTTGCACTGAGAAGTTCTGTTACATAACAGAGTCTCATTCAGCTCATGCACAGAGTATTTGAATGAGAGGTAATGAGCTGTGTTTCTTTAGTGAGGAGAAATTTTAATTTGGATACCTTGCCTCAGCTCAAGGTAAAGTATTAAAACATAATCCTTTGACTAATTCTCATGGCATTTGACCACATAAAAGAAATTTATACAACAGACAGCTTGGAAACTGCTAAGTGATGAATCCTCTGAAGGACAAATTTAAGACTCTTCTCTAATGGAAAAGTATGATAAAACCACAAAATATTAATTGTTCATCATTTACTGGTCAAGCTAAACTTGTTTAAAGTAACAAAAATAATAGAGTTTATTTACTTTGCCCTAAAGAATAGGAATCTCAGCACAGGAATCATTTTTATTTAAAAACAGTACCTACCAGTAAGAAACTGCTTTGACATGATAGCTTGCCAAGCCAAAAAATTCAAATATAGGGATAATCCTTCTGTAACTATCCATGCCCTTCTTTTAGTTAAGATTCTGTCCCAGATTCTTAAAGTCAGTAATCACCTATTGTTGTTCCCACCTGTTTGTTTTCCAAATATGTACAACATCAGGATCTGTGATTTTTTTGTTTTCAGCCTGGGCATCCAAAAAGTCAAAAAAGTATTTTATAGCAAACGGGGCTCTGCTGTTGGGTAAACTCCAAATGCTTCTAAAAAGTTTTTCAAGCACAGAGTGAATTGCCACCTGAAAGATAGAACACATCAGACTTGGAAGATTAAAGAGAAAATAGGATAGTGGTTTTTGAATACATGATGAAAAATGAAATCCAAGTTCAGAGATAATGATGTACAAAACAGAAAAACAAGCTGAACAGAAAGTCTGTACAGTTGTCAAATAAGGCCAGCACTCAGTGTTTAAGACAAAGGTCCTAAAAATCCATGCCCAGGTTTAGATCGGGTGCATAAGCTCCTTGCTGATAACGACATTGTTTAGGCAACAGGGAGGCTGTCTTTGAAACTGCTAGCAGTTGAAATGTCAGTTATAGGGCTATATACATAAACCAAGAAGCCCCGGATGTTTGGCTTTTATTAGTTATGTTCAGCCTGGAAAAACTCAAATGATGTTGCTTGGTTCCCAGAATTTTTCCTGTTGCATATATTTCCATCATAGGGTTTTATTGTGTACTTTCCAGAGCATCTGACTGTTTTATAAAAAACAAATAGAGCTCTGTGGGACAGATGAGAAAAGCCAAGAGATTCTGGCTGTCCTCTACCCACCAAACAAGTCTAATAGGTTTGTTTAAGCTCCAAGTAGACACTTTGCTATAATCTGAAGACACATGCCCAGCAGAAAACTAGGACCAGGTGTAGATAATAGCACTTATATTGCTAGTCATTTCAGGAAAAAATGGATCACTACAGACTTCTGTTTAATCCCACTAAAAACTAGATAAAGGAAAATTTGCTCCCAATTTGGTATTCCTATTCCACTGGCTTTTAAAACATCTGACACTTTTATATGTGAACAGAATTCTTAATTTTAAAAAGACCACCCCCCCCTTTTCATTTTATTTGCAATTTAAAGAGGGAGTTTTATTGCTCATCTATAGTAACAAGTAAACAGAAAGGAATAATTATGCTGTCAACCTAAAAAATAACAGTGCAGCGGTGGGTTAAGGGCTTGGGAACAACATTAAATCCCTGACTGAAGATGCTGTGGTAGAAATTTGTAAAGTGCTTTATCTTTGCAGTTTGTGAGGAAGAAGAAGAAGGGGGTAGGAAGTGTTTACAATTTAAACTTTCATTTTGCTTTGCTAGAAGGCACAAGGGATTTGTAACATTTTCACACTTCAGTGGAAATTAAGTCAAACACATCATACACCCCCAAGGTAGCCGTAAAAGTCTCCCAAAATGGTAAGTGTACCTTGGTGGACAGCAGCTTTGTCAGATACATTTCTTTTACTTTGAACTTGTGCTTCCCTCGATGTCTCTTTCCCTGCACATCTTGGAACGCTTCCGAATCTGGTAAAATCTAAAGGAAGACAGCAGAAGCAGCGTTACCCAAGGAGACGCGCTGTGCTGCAGAAGGCATCCGATTCAGCCGGAGCACAAGCGAGCCTGAACTCACCAAGTGGCAGTGGTCTTCCGAGTATTCCACATCTGAGCGCCGCGGAAAGAGGGAGAGAAACAGTGCATTAAAAACCACCGCAGGCTAATGGCCTTCCCATAAGATGCCCCACGTGTGCGAGAAACAGAACAGTTCCTTGAGCCCTCCCCCCCGAGCTTTTCATAGCGACATTCCGTGCCCCGCCCCCCACGTCTTAGGACCTTAGGAGCAGTGTGAAGATAGGATGGGCCAGGGGCTGGAGTTGTCCCTGGAAGTGTTGAAGCAGAGGCTGAACCATCACTTGGGGGTGGGGTAGGCGAGGTTCAGTTCTCATTCATCTAACAAATAGAGCTGGATCACCTACTATGCGCCAGGGGCTACTAAGCAGACAGCAATGAATAAGACCTAGCTCTCACCTAAAGGAATTCACATCCTAGCCACTGAGAGACTTCTACTAATTACACAGTTAGCTGTTTAATTTACTTGTGATAAGGATTGTGGAGAATTATATGCTAGGAAAGTATCTAACAAGGCATGGACCTAAACAGCGAGGTTCTCTGAGGAGGGATGTTGGAGCTGGACCTAAATGAACGGACAGTGATCACGCAGGACCAAATGGGGAGAAGGGTGGGTGCAAATGCCCTGAGGTGGAAAGGAAAGGTGACCTCTTCTAGGATCTGAGAGAAGGGCAGCCAGGTGGAGGTCACAGAGGGAGTGATGGAGCAGCACAAAGCGGACAGTCTGAGAAGAAATGTGGCTGAAAAGGAAGTGGCAAACGCAGGGGAAGGAGGAAGCAAGGCAGCTGGGTTTTGTTTTGAAGATGAGAGAGACTAGAACACCTTAAAGTGTTCTTAAATGCTGGTTCTTAAATGTTCTTAAAATGCTGGTGGAAAACTACAGTAGTGGGGATGCGAAGCCCTGGTGGAAACAGGATTTGGCTGGGGGGAAGGGCAGCCCTGGCACATCTGGGGAGCCAGGAGGAGGGACTGGCAGACCGGGGAGAGAGGGAAGGAGGGTGGGGTGGTGCTGGCTATTGAAGGCATTCTGATCTCTGTTTTCTCTGCGAGGTACTGAGTGAAGTCACCCGCTGATAGGGAAGCCTGTGGGGATCAGAAGAGAGAACTTGGGGTCAGAGGGAACAGTCAGCTGTCTGGAGAAGCACAAAGGGGAACAGGGTCCATCGAGGGTCCAGATCCAGATGGGAATTTATAGCGACAGCTGTGCTGTTGCAAGCCTCTCCCACGTGGTGACCCAGCCTCAGGTTCAGCAAAGGGGAGCAGTGGGGTTCACCAGGGGACTGGCTGGGATGTTCACAGACAGGGTGATGAAAGGACAGAGGGGCAAGGGTTTTGGAGAGTAAGGAGGGAGTGGACAGCAAGGAAGCAGAGGTGCTGACCACCTTTAAGGCCCACGAAGTGATCCAAATGCAAGATCTCTAAATAACAAGCTCTCAAAAGACTATAGTCTTTGAAGCCTAAAATACACAGCTCCGCCACTTATTACAGCAGAAGGACACCAACCCCCACCCCCTCACCCCAGACCAGAAGGACAGACGCCCACTGCAAGATGGCTTCTCTCAATATAGCTTGACTTGGGAGTAGATGGGGGCTTGGGAGGTGGGGATGTCCTACAACCTACCAAGGGGTGTCCTACAACCTTCCTAGTCATCCCAACCGTTTCACTGGGAGCCCTGCATTTCTCATTTGCATGCACCAGGTGTTGGGTCCTATCAGGCTGCTCCTACCACTGAATCCAGGAATAGGGAAGCCCCACCTCCAGCTGTGTGTGTGTGAACAGGCCCTATTGGTGAGGCCCAGAACCTCTCAGAGGGCCGAGGAGGGCTGACTGTTTTGGCTTGGATATGATTTCTCTAGAGAGAAGCCCGGCATAGACCCCAGGATTTTCTCAAGGCACTGTCGCAGTGTTTTCCTGCCCCTAGGCTATCAGGGACATATAAGAGAGTTTAGAGATTGGCTGATTAACTTTGCCCACAAAGCTCCCTCTGTCCTTGGTCCATCAGTAGGAGCTTTGGACTAAGTGAATTATCTTGTTTGTTCAGAGCTTGCAGGGCTGTGTGATAATCTGCAGGCTTCCCTCAGTTTGCCAGGGGGATGCCCTCTGTCAGCCCCCATCCTACTGAGGAGTTGGAAAAGAGCTGAAATGGCTAAGATTCTGCCCTGTGTTTAGGGGTGGTTAATGATAGCAACTTCCTCAGTGCCAGGCAGTCACAGCAACCACTGTTTACAGTTTCCTGTCCCCCTTTGCAGAGCTCGCATTCTTGGGACCAGAAACAGATCAAAATGGCTTTCCTCCAATCAGAGAATTGCATAGCAACAACTCAATCTCATCTTTGTGACAGTACATCTGAGAGGCAAAAAGCAATACTTTATAGACTGAGAATAAAAGGTTAACATGATGTTGGTTACCTGAAGTAAAATTTGCTATCTTCTTAAAGACTTTTATAGTGGATCCATTTGATATCTGAAAGCAAAGATAAAAAATAGATGAGTTTTCAAAATTTAATGTAGTTCTCAACTTCACTCAGGAATTAGATGGCTGGATGGACCTTACATTCTCTCACTTATTCAATCAAATATTTATTAAGAATTCCTATCTTCTGAGCATTCAGGCTGGGGCTATAGTGATGAGCAAGACACTGTCTCTGCCCTCTAGGAGCTTGTGGTTTTGTGAAGGAGGCAGGCAAGGGGAGGAGTCGACTGTGTTGGGGGCAGCCCAGTCTCTTGGGAGTAGGGACTATTTAGACCACTTTCTTTTCAGAAGTGGGTGGGGGGGGGTCCTACTATATAAAGAAATGCTTAAACAAGTTTTCAAAAACTGGTCTGATGACTACCCTATGACAGAGCCATTTCACATTTAGGTATACACATGTGCATATCCTGAGGGTAAACTTTGTAAGTGCCCCATACTGGCATTTACAACCCCAATATCCATCAACAGTAGAATGAATAAAGAGTTTGGGGTATATTCATAAAACAGGTTACGATAAGACAATGACAATGAGCAAATTACTGCTCCATGCCACATGGATGAACCTCACAGTGATACTGGTGAACCAAAATCCTGACAAAATGGAATGCACACCGTGTGGTTCCATTCACATTTAACGTAAAAAAAAAAAAACAACAGAAAAACAAAAATCCCAGTCAAAACTATGATTTAAATGTTTGGAGAAGAGAAAGTGGCGATTAGGAGAGTCCATGAGGGGGCATCTGTGGTGCCCATAACGCTTTATTTGTTGATCTGAGTGGGAGTTGTAAGATAGGCTCACTTTGTGATAATCCATCCAGCAGGACACTTATAATTTGTTCTCTTTTTTTGCAGCTCTCTATCTTTTTAAAAGAAGCTTGTAAAAATCATAAAACTGCATACAGTTTTAAATAAAAAACTTTAAAATTTAAACATGACTTATAGGAATGTTCTTGTATTAAGTGTACAGCTCAAGAGTGTTCACTTCAGTATATACCTGTGTAGCCACCACCCACATTAAGATATAAAATTATATTTCAAGGTTCCAAGAAGTACCCCTATTGTGCTTCTCAATCAATAACCACCCCGTCCTCACCCAGGGGTGATCACTTTTCTGACTTCCATCACCATTGTTTAGTTCTATCTGTTGTTGAACTTCATGTACATGGAATCATTCAGCGTACACTTATGTCTAGCTTCTTAGGGTCAATATAAGGTCTATCACGTTTATATTTATCTGCATTGTTGCAGCTACCAGCAGTTTGTCCTTTTAAAAGAATTATTATTCTAGTGAATGAACACACTACAAAAAAATTCCCATACAATAAAAGGAAAGAAGTATTAACACATGCTACAACATGAACGGATCTCAAAAACACGGTTAAGTGAAAGAAGTCAGTCACAAGAGATCACGTATTATACAATCATAATTTGTCCAGAATGGGCACATTTGTACAAACAGAAGGTAGATTACTAGTTGCCTTTGGAGGAATGAAGAGTGACTCTTAATGAGTTCAAGGTTTCTATTTGAAGTAATGAAAATGTTTTAAAATTAGATTGTGGTGACAATTGCACAGCTCCACAAATGTTCCCAAGAACCCACTGAACCACTTTCACTGTGAAAAGGTGACCTTTATGATATACAAATTATATCCCAACACAGCTGTTTTTAAAAACTGTCATGGGTTTTAAATGTATGCATTTGACAAATGCTTTCACCATACTGATGTGATTTCAGCCCCAATGTGTAGCCCCTTTTGGAGATAACATCAAGAATTCTGAGGGATGAGAAATTTTGGGGACCCTGGAACCCTTAGCGTAACCCTTCCTCACACTTAACCAGAGGAAGAAGGGCCCATCAGGCCAAGGGGGCCTAGATGCTAAGAGAAAGAGGGCAGGCTTTGCTCGCTGGAGGAGTAAATTGTTCTGAGCGGCTGGTCCAAAGAAGTACTAGACAAAGGGGCCATGGAGAAGCGACAGGACGGGGATACCCAAATCCTCACTTTTATTCTGGGATGTGACTGGAGGGTTAACCCTGTCATTTCTGAACATTGTCATCAGCCACGTGATTTTTCCCTGCACTTGAAAGCTCTAAGGCTGTTTTGAATTCTGATATTAATTTGGACCTGGCCTCCCTCCATTTGGAAAAAAGGTAAAAACTTAGAATGTTTCTGGCCTGTGGCAAGTTGGTTATCAGAATATACAAACCGGCTCAGCAAACACCAAAGGATTAAAGCCTAATCTCTCGAAGGTTGTCCCCACGGGGAAGGAACATGAGCGCCAGCCCTGGTGGAGGCCCCTGAGCACAGGGTCCAGCCAGTCACTAAGTCTAGGCCAGAAGCCTCCAACTACTGGTGCTCCCGACATCTTGTGGGGGAAGGGGGCCCTGGGCAGGGCTGGTGGGGGCCTCCTGGCCTCTGCAAAGTGTTTTATGCACGGATTCTAAACTCGTACTGAGCTCCTGGACCCTGCCGCTATTACCAAACATCCTCTCCTTTCCCCTTGAGCCATTCATTGTTTTCTGGCTGATTTTTCAATTCTCCTCCATTTCTGATGCAATTAAAGTCAACGCTCTGTGCAGGCACCCCCTTAGCAATACTCAGACACCGAGTTTATGAGAATGTCTGAACATCATTACAAAATCCCTCCCCATGAAGAGCTGGATATGCCCTGTTTCTAAGCCAATAAACACCTTTGTTATAAAAGGAAGCTGGTGATTCATTCTGGGTAATTGTCAAAGAATGAATCCCAAATGGATCCTGTTGTGTGTTGAGCCAATAATCTGCTACTGTCAGATGCTTTGTTTTGCCAAAAGTGAGCACCCTTACTCTATAATCACAAACACCACGGATGGGCTTTCTGATAAGGAGCCCAGCCAAAAGTTCAAATGTCTTTTCGAGAGCTGGCAATGACTCGCTGCTGGCACGGTGCTCAGGCATTAAGACAGCGCAGACGCAGCTTGTACTGGGGAAATTTTACTCTGAAATTATCTCCTGAGAGCAAGTGTAAAAGCATTTTATTAGCGGATGAGTTGTGTGTGTGTGAGCATGTATGTGTGCGAGGGTATGTCTAACTTTCACAGAGGCTCTAGGGCTGCCACGTTTTTCCCTCCACGTGACATGTTAACACTGTTATAAAGACAGAAAACTAGTTTAGTTACAGATGTTTGTTGGGGGTGGGTGGTAAAGGGTTCCACTTTCGATTTTGCACAAAAGCCAGCTGCTGCCGAATGAAGACCAGAAATGCCATTTTGAAAAGTGCCACAGAATTCAAGGTGTTAAATATATGATTTTGTTTGTTATATCTGAGGAGCTCCAAAAGCTTTCCTAAGAGTGGCTCGTTAATCCTCCCATACTCCTGTGAGGCTGGGAGCATTCTGTGGGCCCCTACTTTAGGCATGAAAAACAAATTAAATCAAAGAAAGATTAATGTCACTAGATGGATCTGTGGCAGGAATGTTTCTCCAGCCCAGAGTAGAGTTGGTACACACAGCAATTTCACATTAAATTCCTTCCAGTCTCATGGTGCTCCAAGATTCAAGATGACATCGAAGTCCTACCCCTCCAATGAAGGTAACTGACCCTCACTGGAATGAGGCAAAGATGACTGCAGACTTTTCTACCATCGGAATTAGGAGCTGAGACCACACAGGGAGAGATGGACCCATGTCATCAATTTAAAGTTGCTTCGGGACTTCCCTGGTGGTCCACTGTGGCAAATCCACCAGCCAGTGCAGAGGACATGGGTTTGACCCCTGGTCTGGGAAGATCCCACATGCTGGAGGGCAACTAAGCCCATGTGCCACAAACACTGAGCCCATATTCTAAACCCCACAAGTCATAGCTCCTGAGCCTATCGACTGAAGCCCGCACACCTGGAGCCTGTGCTCTGCAACAGGAGCCGCTGCGATGAGAAGCCCGAGCACCGCAACGAAGACGAGTCCCTGCTCGCTGCACCTAGAGAAAGTCTGCACGCAGAAACGAAGATCCAGCTCGTAACTAACGAAGATCCAGAACTCAATAACTAAATCTAAGGTACACTGAACTAAAGCTCATCAAGTGGGGACAAGCCACTAAATGCGGACTAGTCCGTCTAGTCAAAGCTATGGTTTTAACAATAGTCATGTATGGATGTGAGAGTTGGACCATAAAGAAAGCTGAGTGCCAAAGAATGGATGCTTTTGAACTTCGGTGTTGGAGAAGACTCTTGCGAGTCCCTTGGACTGTAAGGAGATCCAACCAGTCCATCCTAAAGCAGATCAGTCCCAAGTGTTCATTTAGAAGGACTGATGTTGAAGCTGAAACTCCAATCCTTTGGCCACCTGATGCAAAGAACTGACTCAGGGAAAAGACCCTGATGCTGGGAAATATTGAAGGCAGGAGGAGAAGGGGACAACAGAGGATGAGATGGTCGGATGGCATCACCGACTCGATGGACATGAGTTTGAGCAAGCTCTGGGAGCTGGTGATGGACAGGGAAGCCTGGTGTGCTGCAGTCCATGGGGTCACAAAGAGTCAGACACGACTGAGTGACTGAACTGGAGTGGACTGAGTCACTAAAGAACACCTTTAAAAAAATAAAACGAGGTTGCTTCTGAAATAAAAGCAACACACCCTCATATTGTAAGTGAAGGTGAGATTTCTTTGTGGTAAAATACTGTCTTAATGCCAAAAGTTGATGATTATACCATAAAAACAGATTTTCTAGAAATATAAGGTTGAACTTATACTTAACCTGATGAAACTATTTTGAAAGTAAAAAATGGTCAAATGTTGGCAATTTCTTTCTTTCCTTTTTTTTTTTTTAATATCTTTTTTTTTTTGGCCGCACTGCAAGGCATGTGGGATCTTAGTTCCCTGACCAGGGATCAAACTTGGGTTCCCTACAATGGAGGCAGGATGTCTTAACCACCAGTGGTTGTTGCTCAATTGCTTGGTCGTGTCTGACTCTGCAACCCCACGGACTGCAGCATGCCAGGCTTCCCTGTCCTTCAC